TGAGGACAGCAATATTCAAATCTGGGAATTGTGATGAACCCTTAGTTCATCATGGTTTTTAGCAGGAATTAGGATCAAATTGTGTGATTAAATGATGAAAAACAAGGTTAATGTCCTAAGATGTCCTCAATTACAAGTTCAAGAGCTTTATTGGAAATTTGTATGATTCTTGTAGGAAAAGCAAGCTTGAAAGACAACTGGAGAAGGAAGAAGATTCTGGAGCTCAAGAGGAGAAAAATTGCCTAAGTGTTGAGCGCTAAAACGTCCACACTGAGCGTTTTAGCGCCCTGTTACAGGAAGAGGCCAAAACTTGCTGGCGATGAGCGCTAAAACGTCCACACAGAGCGTTTTAGCGCGCTGCTACTGTAACATCCCACGTAATTAGGAATATATATATAAATATATGTCGTTATTTAAATTACTACGAGAGTTATGGAAATTATGTTAAATTCGAATCATGTGCATTACATGCTGTGATTTCAGATTATATGACTCTTAGTATAGAATTAGTATTGAGGTAGGAATTATTGCATTATGAGGATAGATGAGACTTTATTTTAGGCATGTGGAATTTTATTAAAGAGTATAGGTATAATTAATTGTAACAAATAGAATGTTTAATAATGTTTGCCAAATGTGAGGACTCATTAACTAATGGGCTGACCTTAAAACAACCTAAAACATTGGACTTATACTAGTTGGACTCTCATCACTTGTGTAGGCCGACGGCCCATGTGGCTTGGGGAAGAATAGATTCAGCCCAACTTCCAACTATCTTAATTCTATCATAGTAATCCAATGAGGCCAAGCATGTGCGTCACCTATCCTCCTTTTTGTTTGCATGAATGTCAAATGGAAAATCCTATCCTTGTCTCTCCCTAATAATGCGCTTAGGGTAGAGAATAAGAGACCAAAAAAATAAATAAATAAATAAATAATTCTGATTTGGTTCCTAATAAATAAAACAAGTCAGCCACTCCTCCTTCCCTCATCACATGCGTATAAATAAGCTAAAAAGCTGACTTTACTTGCTATCTTATACAAACTAACCCAGCCTTTTCCTCCATGCATCCAATAAGTTTCCATGAGTCAGCCTGCATGTAAATTAAGTGGGCAGAATTGCCACCCACTTCCCACCTATGGAACGCAAAAGAGAGAGGGGTGCCAATGAAGAATTCTGGTCCCTGTACCATTTTTAAATCAGCTTCTCGAACCCTCACCTCCATCCCTTGAGCGCTGATATTGAAGAAGAATAGGTTGAGACTTGCTATATTAAAACAGTAACAGACCAAACGCTACCACCTTTTTTTTTCCTCCCTAAACCGTGAGTGGAAAATACACCAAAGAAACACAAAAGTTTTGCATCACCATTCTCCATTCCTTGACCGTGCAGAACCGTGAGAAACATACAAGGAGAAATCACCAAATTGCATCTTGTTACACCTACTCGTTCATCTCAAAACCGTGGAACCTCTTGAGGAATTTCCAAGCCTCTAATACAATTTCTCTCCTCCATTCCCTTGGCTGTGCGTCCTTATTCCAAGAGGTAAAGTGTGCCTCTGTTTCTCTACTCAATCTTTTGGACGAAGGAGACATTTCATTGTATGTATATAATGACTTAAGCTGATTTTTCCTCTTCTAACTCTTGCGCGCGGTCACCATTTAGACGTGTGGAGCTGCTGTTTCGTGGAGCTTGGAAGGAAGCAGTGTCACTCCTTGTTCTATTCGATTTTCTTGTGTGCTGCAAGAGAGGTCAGCACAAACGTAGAACCTCCTCTCTTTATATTTCTAGACCGTGAAGCATGTTAGGAATGTAGTTTCCGTTTATTTATTCCTTTTGATTCTGCCGTGTTCGGTACCCTTGGACTCAAGTATGAAGACATAAAGAAAAGCAACGTCGGAATAACCTTATCATAAATGTTGGGGTTGTTGGTGGTGTTATAAAGTAAAAGAATAAAACATCATGTTTGGACCCCCTTTAGAGCGCACTTAATATGGAGTAAATGTGATAGTATTAATTATCTTAAATGTTGGTTTAGATGATATCTTAAAAAACGTTATGTAACAATGCGATTTGAATAGCATACTTAAGCCATGTAGCGCACCATGTATGAAGTGTTTGGGTGTTTGGATAAGTTATCTTTCATGCTTTGTTGGGATAAGAATCAAATCTGCCAAATGAAATTGTCATGAGCTAGGTCCTTTCTGATTTAAAGTACAGCATGTCGTTAGGCTGCCTTCCACACATTTTGGTCTTGCAAGCTAAAATTCTGCATACACGTCGTAAGTTCCTTATGTACCTAAAATAAATTCTGTTTGGTCAACCTAGATGTGCTCTAAGCTTCAAATAAATTAGAAATACAGCATGCTTAGACTCCCTTAAAGCGCACAGTACATGGATTAGTGGAGCTTTAGAATAAATTACCCGTGATGCTTTGATTAGATAAAACGCATTCTGTCTTGGTAAAACCTAATTTGGACTAGGTCCCTCTTGAATTAAAAATACAACATGACAACTAGGTCCTCCTTTGCGCACACCATGAGTAGAGAAACAGAAAATTTTATGAATAAAGTCTTGAATAATTTTTGTGTCCAAACCGATTCTGCCTTGGTTGGAAATCTTAATAAATTCTTGCTGTTAAACGTTGGTAAAGATTAAATTAAAGTCAGAATATATTTTTGGGAAAAGAACCATGATGGCCGAATGGGTTCAAGAGTCTTAAAACTTGGAAGATTATTGGTAACTCTTAGGAATAGCTTGGGACGTATTCTGATTTGTTCCACTTGTCAATTAGGTGCGCAAAACCATTGAGAATTTGGACTATTTCGCTGCTGTTTGGTAAATTTAATTGTGACGCGCGAGGTAAGTGTCTGGTGGCATTACCTTCTGTGACTGCTAGCTAGTACATGGATTGTGAATTGTTGCTCTCATGCTTTGGATTTAAATTCTATATGCGTCACCCGCATTCTGTTCATGGATATACTATGCTGAATCTAAATTCTGTATGCGTTATTCGCATTCTGTTTTGGAAAATAATTGTTATACAGCATTCTGATATTGGAAATCCATGGGATATGTTATATGAAATACTACTTTGTCATGCATACTCATATCATAATTTTAGACTGTTGCTTTGTGTGCGGACCATTACATAACATTCATGCATAAATTTCATGCTGGATTCTAAATTAAAAATAATTATGAAAAGTAAGCATACGTTTTGAGCACGCATCATATAGGCATACCCCGGTACCAGGGTTCTGGGACACTTGGCTTCAGTCCGCTTAGGTATAGTTGGAGCCCTTCTGAGGAGTCACCAGGATTCTCCACTGTTCTGTTAGTGATACGTGCACAATAGTGCTATGAACGTACACTTCTGGTGTGATATACGCAATATGATATTATGTTAGTGATACGTGCACCGTAGTGCTATGAACGTACACTTCTGGCGTTATATACGCACTTTGATCATGATTAGTATTTGATGGATCTGAACTGATGATGCGACTGTTTTGTAATTCTGTATCTGGTTAGTACTGTTGCATTTGGTTTTGTTATCACACTACTGGGATTTTTCTCACCCCTTTGGGGCTGCTATTTTTATAAAATGGCAGGAGGACGGAAGAACATTTGAAGACATGATTATATGGACATTTTGCTGTTATGTGCTGCTGTTTGAACAATTGCTGTTACTGTTTGACTGTTGGATGACTGTATAAATATTTTGAGAGGTTGGATTATTTTTTACGCATGATTTAGTTACTGTTTTGAGACTTTCTAATTAGTTAGTACCTTGGATAATTCTGAAAACGTTTTGCGGAAATAACTTTTGAACGTTTATTTTAAGTGCTGGTTTTTTTTTAGAAAACTGATTTTGCGAGCACTTTGCAAGTTGTCGTTCTGGGGCTACAGACCTCCGAATGAGGCATAATTTATATGCACGTAAAGCCCCAGATGTGTACTTTCAGATTATGTACAAATTATGTTCAAACTAGGTAAGCACGACTTATTATGATTTTTGCAAGTCAGCAGGTTTTTAGAAAAATACACTGAATTCGCGAGCACCTTGCGAGTTCTGTTTCGTGGGGCTATTCACTTCCGAATCGCTTATAATTTATATGTACGCGAAGCCCCGGATGTCTAGTTTCTCCGTAGCATTAAATATTTTTTTAAGCTGTTGAACTTGATTTTATACAGATTTTATAAGTTAGCAAGGTTTTCTGAAAAGTTTAGAAATTTCAGCAAGCAGTTTTTTTCTTGAAATTACCACTGTTTCATAAGAAATTTAATTTCACTCTAAGGTTTTTAATGAAGAATTAAACCTGAAACTTTTAAATTGGATAAGCTTTCATTTTAAGTTTTTAAAAATTGAGTTCTTTACCGCTCCCACTCTAATACGATTTAGAAAACAACTCTCTTGGATGCATACAAGAGAGGATGTTACACTAATTGGTATCAGAGCAGTTTTGATTCATGGTTTTTGTTTGTTTGACTGTTGAATTTTTGCTGTTTGTACTTGTTTGCTGACTTGTCTGTTGTTTGCAATTAATTGCAATTGACTGTTTGAGTGCTTATTGGTTATTGTATGACTACATGCTGAATTGTTTGAGATATAGTATTGTTTCAACTAGATTGTGAGAATTATTTGTGGACTACTATATGTTAAAATTGCGCTACTGAACATTTTGATGTTTAGTATGACTGTCTAAATTGACTGTTGAATTATTTACTGATTGCTGTGTTGTTGCTGCTTGAATATAACTGTTAAACTGTCTGCTGGCTGCATCATGTTATTTGTTTAAGATATGTGACTGATAAGTATCGAACTATCCCTGTTAGTTGCAATAGATGTACTAAAAAGTTAAGTTTATATAGCAATAGGAACAGATGTATTGCCAACTTATCTGATTAGAACACGAGTACCTACTTGGAATTGCTGTCATTTATATCTTGCGGTGAGTCTGATCAGCTCATGTCATGATATTGTGAGTGCAGAAACATGGCAGGTACCCGCGGTTCCACTCAGGGAAGAACAAGCAATGCACCTGATGAACTCATTACTACGGTTTGGGGGTTGGCCACGTTTGTCCAGAACATGAGCCAAGAATGGCGAGAATATCGGCAACAGAACCCGAACCAACCCCAAATGCCCGACAATGCTGAGGAAATTTCCCGACGGAGGTTGAAAGACTTCCGCAACTTCCAACCACCTACATTGGAAGGTGGAGATGACCCTGAGGCTGCAGCAAGATGGCTGCAGATGATCGAGCACATATTCGAGCGAATGGGATGTCCAGAGGAACAGAAGACCGACTACGCCTTATACCAGCTGATGAGAGAAGCTTTGACTTGGTGGACCGGTGCGAGGGCTCTGCTGCGAGCTCAAAATGTTGATCTGACTTGGGCCGTGTTCAGACGAGTCTTCCTAGACAAGTATTTTCCGAAGGCTATGAGAAGAATGAAGCACACTGAGCTGCTATCACTAAGGCAGGACAACATGACTGTCAATGAATACATTACTACATTTGGGCAGCTGATGGAATATGCCAACTTTGATCGGAACATCTATGACGAGGAATGGCAGATTGAGAAATTTGAAAGCGGACTACATCCAGAGATCCGTAAGCTCATCCTGACTTCTGCAAACCGTACACTTCCAGAATTAATCAATCAGAGTCGGCAAGCGGAAGGCATTATCAACGAAGCAAAGAATATGTTCGAGCAACTAGTACAGCCACCGGGAGGAAGCAAAGACGGCCGTTTCTTCAGAAGGAATACCGGAATGAACAAAGGCACTGGCCCGCAAATGCAAGCTCGAACTGGAAATTTCAAGAGGAATAATGCTCCTGGTCAATCATCAACCGGACGACAGAGTTCCAATGCTTGTGCTACGTGTGGAAAGTATCATTCTGGAGTCTGCCGGCGCGAGAACAACTTATGCTACAGGTGTGGACAGTCGGGACACTTTGTTTCTGATTGCCCCCATAATCCTAATTGACCCCCTACCCAAACTAGAGTGTTCACTCTTGATGCAAATGAAGCTCAGAAACATCCAAACTTGATCCGAGGTAATGTAATTTTGAATGGTCATCCCCTTTCTGTTATCATGATTCTGGAACATTAAGTTCTTTATTGCATGGCACACTGCAATTGGACTAGGTCTCACCCCAACTCCTTTACCTTATGAGTTGAAAAAAAAAAAAAAAAATTCCTACTTCTACTGAAGGATCTTGTACCGTATCATAAATCTGTAGTGGTTATATTCCACGATTAGAGAACAGCTTTACAAACCCTTAAGGAGATTCACTCAGAAATTCTCGCAATTAGTACAGCCTCTTACCCGTCTCACTCGGAAGAATATACCTTTTGAGTGGACTGATACTTGTGAAGAATGTTTCATGGAACTCAAAGAGATAAGGAAATAGTCCATAATTTGGTTGGTATCCTAATCTTGTTAAGTACATTGTAAAAGGATAGACTTGGTTACTTTGGACTTAGAGAATCTTAGACAATAGCTACAGAATAAAGGAACAAGTTTAATACTTTTGGGAGCATGACAAATAGAAGTAGTACCTTGGAATCCTGGTATCCCTAATTATGCCCTTAATTCCGCTGCATAGATGGAACCTTATTAGAAGTGCCCTCTAAACCCTAAGCTTTAGACAAAAGTACTATTCATCAATGTAATTCCTTTTTCGCAAGTTAGTGGCCAGTATTGTGTTGATAACTTAGTTATGCCGCTAAATTTTTATACCACAATAGTGATGGACTAAGATCCTTAGAAAATAAGAACATTTAATGAAATTCGGGTAGTGATGAAATCCGATAATTTTACGAATACTCTCCTACATTGTAAATTGGAATATGATGCGTTCTGTTCTACTTACTCGATTTCCTATAGATTATTAAATTGTGAAATTCCACCCATGATGTTTTTCAAGTCAGGTAATTAATTGTGAGGTGCTTACTGAGTTGAAATCTGTCATAGGAAAGGAATAAATAGGGAATGGATAAAATTCTAAATGGTAACATGTAAGCTGAAAAAAAAAAGAAAAAAAAAGAAAAAGAAAAGAAAATAATAAATAAATAAATAAATATTCTCGACCATACCAATAAAATTTTTTGTTACATATTGTTTGAGGAATATGTCAGGTACAAGTTAGTGGTAAAGCCCTGAGTCTCAGTATGGTTTAGGGATAATTGGAGTCCTCGTGGATTAAGATTATATATTGGTTTCACTTCGTCACAGTTGCAATGTGAATTGATGTGGTTTAAAGAGAACCAGACAATTGTGTGCTTACGATGATGATTAGGGAAGTTTTTATCTTTTCTGTATGAGTATGATTTATTTATGATATCCTGAGTTAATTAATGATTTTGATAGCTGCCTGGCCGTATGCGATATAAAGTCTTGCATAATTGCATGTGGGGTTGGCATTTGCCTTGAGTAGTTAACGGAATTGGTAGGACGAAGTTTGGGGACAAACTTCAAATTTGGTGAGGAGAGTGTAACATCCCACGTAATTAGGAATATATATATAAATATATGTCGTTATTTAAATTACTACGAGAGTTATGGAAATTATGTTAAATTCGAATCATGTGCATTACATGCTGTGATTTCAGATTATATGACTCTTAGTATAGAATTAGTATTGAGGTAGGAATTATTGCATTATGAGGATAGATGAGACTTTATTTTAGGCATGTGGAATTTTATTAAAGAGTATAGGTATAATTAATTGTAACAAATAGAATGTTTAATAATGTTTGCCAAATGTGAGGACTCATTAACTAATGGGCTGACCTTAAAACAACCTAAAACATTGGACTTATACTAGTTGGACTCTCATCACTTGTGTAGGCCGACGACCCATGTGGCTTGGGGAAGAATAGATTCAGCCCAACTTCCAACTATCTTAATTCTATCATAGTAATCCAATGAGGCCAAGCATGTGCGCCACCTATCCTCCTTTTTGTTTGCATGAATGTCAAATGGAAAATCCTATCCTTGTCTCTCCCCAATAATGCGCTTAGGGTAGAGAATAAGAGACCAAAAAAAAAAAAAAAAAAAAAAAAAATTCTGATTTGGTTCCTAATAAATAAAACAAGTCAGCCATTCCACCTTCCCTCATCACATGCGTATAAATAAGCTAAAAAGCTGACTTTACTTGCTATCTTATACAAACTAACCCAGCCTTTTCCTCCATGCGTCCAATAAGTTTCCATGAGTCAGCCTGCATGTAAATTAAGTAGGCAGAATTGCCACCCACTTCCCACCTATGGAACGCAAAAGAGAGAGGGGTGCCAATGAAGAATCCTGGTCCCTGTACCATTTTTAAATCAGCTTCTCGAACCCTCACCTCCATCCCTTGAGCGCTGATGTTGAGGAAGAATAGGTTGAGACTTGCTATATTAAAACAGTAACAAACCAAACGCTACCACCTTTTTTTTTCCTCCCTAAACCGTGAGTGGAAAATACACCAAAGAAACACAAAAGTTTTGCATCATCATTCTCCATTCCTTGACCGTGCAGAACCGTGAGAAACATACAAGGAGAAATCACCAAATTGCATCTTGTTACACCTACTCGTTCATCTCAAAACCGTGGAACTTCTTGAGGAATTTCCAAGCCTCTAATACAATTTCTCTCCTCCATTCCCTTGGTTGTGCGTCCTTATTCCAAGAGGTAAAGTGTGCCTCTGTTTCTCTACTCAATCTTTTGGACGAAGGAGACATTTCATTGTATGTATATAATGACTTAAGCTGATTTTTCCTCTTCTCACTCTTGCGCGCGGTCACCATTTAGACGTGTGGAGCTGCTGTTTCGTGGAGCTTGGAAGGAAGCAGTGACACTCCTTGTTCTATTCGATTTTCTTGTGTGCTGCAAGAGAGGTCAGCACAAACGTAGAACCTCCTCTCTTTATATTTCTAGACCGTGAAGCATGTTAGGAATGTAGTTTCCGTTTATTTATTCCTTTTGATTCTGCCGTGTTCGGTACCCTTGCACTCAAGTATGAAGACCTAAAGAAAAGTAACGTCGGAATAACCTTATCATAAATGTTGGGGCTGTTGGTGGTGTTATAAAGTAAAAGAATAAAACATCATGTTTGGACCCCCTTTAGAGCGCACTTAATATGGAGTAAATGTGATAGTATTAATTATCTTAAATGTTGGTTTAGATGATATCTTAAAAAACGTTATGTAACAATGCGATTTGAATAGCATACTTAAGCCATGTAGCGCACCATGTATGAAGCGTTTGGGTGTTGGGGTAAGTTATTTTTCATGCTTTGTTGGGATAAGAATCAAATCTGCCAAATGAAATTGTCATGAGCTAGGTCCTTTCTGATTTAAAGTACAGCATGTCGTTAGGCTGCCTTCCACACATTTTGGTCTTGCAAGCTAAAATTCTGCATACACGTCGTAAGTTCCTTATGTATCTAAAATAAATTCTGTTTGGTCAACCTAGATGTGCTCTAAGCTTCAAATAAATTAGAAATACAGCATGCTTAGACTCCCTTAAAGCGCACAGTACATGGATTAGTGGAGCTTTAGAATAAATTACCCGTGATGCTTTGATTAGATAAAACGCATTCTGTCTTGGTAAAACCTAATTTGGACTAGGTCCCTCTTGAATTAAAAATACAACATGACAACTAGGTCCTCCTTTGCGCACACCATGAGTAGAGAAACAGAAAATTTTATGAATAAAGTCTTGAATAATTTTTGTGTCAAAACCGATTCTGCCTTGGTTGGAAATCTTAATAAATTCTTGCTGTTAAACGTTGGTAAAGATTAAATTAAAGTCAGAATATATTTTTGGGAAAAGAACCATGATGGCCGAATGGGTTCAAGAGTCTTAAAACTTGGAAGATTATTGGTAACTCTTAGGAATAGCTTGGGACGTATTCTGATTTGTTCCACTTGTCAATTAGGTGCGCAAAACCATTGAGAATTTGGACTATTTCGCTGCTGTTTGGTAAATTTAATTGTGACGCGCGAGGTAAGTGTCTGGTGGCATTACCTTCTGTGACTGCTAGCTAGTACATGGATTGTGAATTGTTGCTCTCATGCTTTGGATTTAAATTCTATATGCGTCACCCGCATTCTGTTCATGGATATACTATGCTGAATCTAAATTCTGTATGCGTTATTCGCATTCTGTTTTGGAAAATAATTGTTATACAGCATTCTGATATTGGAAATCCATGGGATATGTTATATGAAATACTACTTAGTCATGCATACTCATATCATAATTTTAGACTGTTGCTTTGTGTGCGGACCATTACATAACATTCATGCATAAATTTCATGCTGGATTCTAAATTAAAAATAATTATGAAAAGTAAGCATACGTTTTGAGCACGCATCATATAGGCATACCACGGTACCAGGGTTCTGGGACACTTGGCTTCAGTCCGCTTAGGTACAGTTGGAGCCCTTCTGAGGAGCCACCAGGATTCTCCACTGTTCTGTTAGTGATACGTGCACAATAGTGCTATGAACGTACACTTCTGGCGTGATATACGCAATATGATATTATGTTAGTGATACGTGCACCGTAGTGCTATGAACGTACACTTCTGGCGTTATATACTCACTTTGATCATGATTAGTATTTGATGGATCTGAACTGATGATGCGACTGTTTTGTAATTCTGTATCTGGTTAGTACTGTTGCATTTGGTTTTGTTATCACACTACTTGGATTTTTCTCACCCCTTTGGGGCTGCTATTTTTATAAAATGGCAGGAGGACGGAAGAACATTTGAAGACATGATTATATGGACATTTTGCTGTTATGTGCTGCTGTTTGAACAATTGCTGTTACTGTTTGACTGTTGGATGACTGTATAAATATTTTGAGAGGTTGGATTATTTTTTACGCATGATTTAGTTACTGTTTTGAGACTTTCTAATTAGTTAGTACCTTGGATAATTCTGAAAACGTTTTGCGGAAATAACTTTTGAACGTTTATTTTAAGTGCTGGT